TCTACAAATTGAGAAGGTTTTTATTCTACCTGAATTCACGCTCGAGATATATGCTTGAATTAATTTGAAGTTCTATAATTTTCTTTTGCAATGAGGCATGATCTGAAATTTATTTGTGTCATAATGAGGAGAGGTAGACATTTTTCTAGTACTTTCCTTCTGGAGATTGAAGAACAATGTTCATTTGGTCAGTGACATTTTTTTTATATAGTTAATTGTTTAGAAAATCCTGTCCATCATTTGTTTGTTCTATTTAATTTCAAGAATATATCCATATCCGTTCTATAATTAAGTTTGGTGTCGAGAACTGCATGAGAGAAGGCTAAAGGTTTCATCTTGCAGATGGCGAAGGAGATTAGAGAGCTCACAAAGCAAAGAGATCTCGCTCAATCCCGGATTGAAGATTTACTTCGTATGGTTGGACATGATGATGTCGTGAGAAAGGTAAACATTTACTGACAAATGCTAACTTGATTTACTTGCACGCATACGTAGTCAGTTGGCTTCGTGTTCTTCCTACCATTTGCTTGCCTTCCTTCCAGGATATCGAAAGTAGTTATTCCAAATTGCAAGCGAGGGATGCTTTAGAGGATGAAGGTTCACCATCAGAAACTTCAAGTGTGGCTGATTTTCGTGATAGAGATATGGGTGTAAAATCCTTCAACAATCCTCATTATTATGATGGAGACAGTGATGATGGAAAGAGGTTTCTTGACTCTTACTCCGGTCACAGTCCAATGACAACAACCGCTCTTGCAATAGTCGAAGATTCCGATGACTGCAAGGAAGTTCAATGTATTGAAATGGGGGAGTCAATAAGGGATGATAACTTGTCACCGCTTGCTGCCAATAACGGTGAATTTAGAGGAAATGGTCATGAAATGATATCAACCCCTGTGAAAGGGAATAGAGAAGCACATCAAATTCAAAATAATTCAGCAAATGATCAACCGGAGCAAAGACTCCATAATGTAAGAAGGACAGAAATTAATTCTATGTTCAGTCCTTACCGCGACCATGCATGTTCAAAGGTTACTGCTGATATGTCAAGCTCCAGAAGCTTGAAGCTAGCCAGAAGCTGGAGTTGTAGAGCCAATCTCTCGACTGATTTATCACCTGGTAGAGGAGAAACCACCCCTCCTCATGGATTTGACCAAAGATTTCCTGGAAGACCTGAAGGTTTTGAACGGAAACTCTCACAATTAGTCTTTGATGACAGCCTCCGGAGGCTTGATTCTCAGTCTTCTATAGGAAGTGCTCGGAGCATCAAAACTTCGGCAGATGAAGACGTTACTCGCTTAGACGCCTTTGTTGCCGGATTGAAGAAAATGACCAACTTAGAGTATGGGAAAGAACTTGCTGATGGACAGGTGAGGATGCACTTTTTTTTCTTTACTTTCACGAAATAGATTGCATGGTTCCAAGATAATGGGCAATCATATGGTGTGTGTTGAGGAATGTTGGGAGGGAATTCCACGTTAGCTAATTTAGAGAAAGATCATAGATTTATAAGTAAAGAATAATCTCTATTGGTATGAGGTATTTTGGGGAAGCCCAAAGCAAAGCCACAAGAGCTTATGCACAAAGTGGACAATATCATATCATTATGGACATCCATGATTTCTCACCGTGTGTACTTTTTAGATCAATGCATTTTGGTCTATACCTCTTGCTTTAATCCCACAATTTGCTTGATTATATTGATGGAAAATGATCAATTTATGATATTTAGTATTCAGGTCTAAATATTATCATTTCTCCTAACAATTAGAAGCATGTTCTTACTAGTTTCTGAAGGATGGCCACGAATTGGATCTCTTAAAGGCTTCAAATGGTGCTGGAGGGGGAGAGACATTGCAAGATGCTGCACTAGTCACATCCGATTGGAATCAAGAATTTCAGAGGCTGCGGAGGATGATAGTTGAACTTTGGCAAACTTGCAACGTCTCGATAGTCCACAGAACTTACTTTTTCTTGCTCTTCCAAGGTGATCCTACCGATTCCATTTACATGGAAGTGGAGATTAGGAGACTGACTTTTATGAAGCAATCATTTTATTACGGCAATGAAGCTATGGAAGATGGCCGGAAAGTTTCTTTTGCTTCAAGGTTAGTCCTCTGTTTTATACTTCCATCCATTGTTTGAATAAGTAGGAAATATGTATGTTTTTCAAAGCCCTTGTTCTTTTTTGAGAGATAAGATTGGTAAATCTTTTCAAACTTTTGTTTCTTGTTGGGGCGTTTGTTTCATTTAAACATTTCTCGTTTTCTCATTTTGTCGATGTGAGTTTCATATGTATAATGTTAGAATATCATTAACTTCCATCTATTGTTTAAATGAGTAGAAGTATATATGTTTTTCAAAACCGTTTGTTTTTTCTCGAAAGATAAAATTTGTAAATCTTTTCAAACTTTTGTTTCTTCTTGGGACGTTTGCTTCATTTGAACATTTCTCGTTTCTTATCATTTTATCGATGTGAGTTTTGTATGTCACTTGTGTAATGTTAGAATATCATTAACTTCCCTCCATTGTTTATACTTGAACAAAGTATATATGTTTTTCAAAACCTTTGTTTTTTCTCGAAATATAAGATTTTTAGATCTTTTCAAACTTTTACTTCTTCTTGGGCGTTTGCTTCATTCAAACATTTCTCGTTTCTTTTCATTTTATCGATGCGAGTTTCGTATATCACTTACATAATGCTTGCTCCTTTTCTTTCTGCTCGGGAGACAGTGTGAGAGATCTTCGTCGCGAGAGAGAAACATTGAGTAAGTTAATGCGGAAACGATTCTCAGAAGAAGAGAGAAAGAGACTTTTCCAGCAATGGGGAATCTTGTTGAGTTCAAAACGCCGAAGGCTGCAGCTCATCAACTGCTTGTGGAGCGACTCGAAGAACATGAACCATGTAACAGAGAGTGCAGCCATTGTTGCGAAGCTTGTGAAGTTTGCTGAACAAGGACAGGTTCTCAAGGGGAACTTTGGTCTCAGCTTCATCACACCTCCACTGAAAAGTAGAAGATCATATAGCTGGAAGAACAACAGGAGTTCTCTTCCGTGACCTGAGCTGCTGCACATATAATAACGCTACTGAAGTTATCATATCATTCGTATTTTTGTTACTGGTAATCAATATAGTTATGTAAGAAACTAAAGCTTCATTAATTTTGTAATAGGGCTGTATAAATCCCTTTGTAATCTTGCTTGATCTAGGAAGTTAATTTAGATTAGGCTGATTGATTTAGCTTTTGTTGTTGTGTATTTTGTGAAACTCGAAACATTATAATTGTCACGTTTTTCATTTCTTTTACCCTTCCAATTGTCGTTTGATAATCATTTAATTCCAATTGTCGTTTGATATGTAGTTCGTTTGTTTTTAGAAGGTGATTTGGAATTCAAGAGCTTCTTCTTCTGTATAAATCCCTTTGTAATCTTGCTTGATCTAGGAAGTTAATTTAGATTAGGCTGATTGATTTAGCTGTATAAATCCCTTTGTAATCTTGCTTGATCTAGGAAGTTAATTTAGATTAGGCTGATTGATTTAGCTTTTTAAATCCCTTTGTAATCTTGCTTGATCTAGGAAGTTAATTTAGATTAGGCTGATTGATTTAGCTTTTGTTGTTGTGTATTTTGTGAAACTCGAAACATTATAATTGTCACGTTTTTCATTTCTTTTACCCTTCCAATTGTCGTTTGATAATCATTTAATTCCAATTGTCGTTTGATATGTAGTTCGTTTGTTTTTAGAAGATGATTTGGAATTCAAGAGCTTCTTTTAGAATGGATTGAGCAATATTATTATCAAACATGCTTAAATGACTAGGTTTTCTTATGGGTCGGTTTGCTCGAGCAAAATAGTCATATCCGCACAACATTTTGGCTATTGCGCAATTGAAAACGTCTTCCAAACCTTTTTTGGATCAATATCTCGTTGTATAGTCTGATCACGTGTAACTTATTTCATTTTAATATTTGTTTTTTTCATTTACCAACAAATCTAAAGGGAGACTTTGTAATAGTGTTTTGAACTTAACTCTTTAGTTTAAAAAGAAGAAAAAATTCTAGAGACATTCTATTTAAATTTATAGATTTTCATTACACCTATTGAAATACACATTTGCAAGAACAAGTTATACATTTGTTATAAAACGTAAAATAAAAGCCTTAAATGGTGAGTTGTTTTTATGTTCAAAAATGAAAATCGACATTTGGAAAATTTCTTAGTAAAATATAATAAATCTGGAAAATTCAAGCATTAAAATGAGACTGAGATGTATTGCTAATCATTTCCACCTTCAAATACATTTTTGCTAATTCTATCATATTATTCTTCTGTTAATCTTCTAAAACATACCGAGAAAAGACTTTGATTCTCAAATCTATCGCGAAATTGCAGATTGTTGAAG